TAATTGGCTTGTCTTTTTTTTTTCTTTCTTGGAGTTGTAGAAGATCTTTATCACCCTAAAAAATCCCTCATCAGTTACTCACTTGCAGATATTTCTTTCCTACTCTGAGTAATATTTTTCACTTTATTGATGTTCTTCCAACCATAAAAGTTCTATTTCTTTTCCTTTCTTTTTTTGGCTTCAGCAATTATTACATGTGGTCTTCTCTTTGGGGTGCTGAGATGAAGGTGCCAGAGTCATTAAACTCCTGACAGAATCTTCCTCTGGATCTGCAGGTAGCCATCCTGCTGTCCCTTACATGTTAGGTAATGCAGTGAAGTAGAGTTCATCCCCCCCCCCCCCCCCCCCCCCCCCTCTCTCTCCCCCCCCCCCCCCCCACCCGCTTCTCTCTCTCTCTCTCTGCTTTAGCGATGTGTCATTTTTAAGAACAGCATAGTCTTTCTTCACTGTTAGAGCGTTTACTCTGGTGAGCTAACATGTCTGAAAGATTAGTCAGTGGTCAGCAAAGTTACCTCAAGCCAATGTTGTTAGAGTCTATTGTCTCATGCCTAAGAAGAACAATGAAATATAAGAAGCAAGGACAAGGCTGAGCAGAACAAATGAAGGCTTGTTAAAGAAAAGTAAGAAATAAATCCTGAGATGTAGGAGACCAAAACCTTCTTCCTACCTTGTCCCATGGATGTACTGTAGGAACTAGATGAAGATTGAAGTAGTCTTTATTGAGGCTGGACATTTCTAACACATGAAGGCCTGAGTCCATAAGGATTTCACATATCCTATGCAAATTCTGTCCATAGAAGCAGAGCTACTCTTTCTTGTGTAAGAAATAAATTTGGAGTCAGAATGAAAGAGAACACCACTCCAGTTGAAGTATCTGGACAAGGCAAAATATTATACTGTTGATCCAGAGAGTGCTCGAAAGAGCAAAAACATCAAGAAGAAGTATACCTCCTATTTATTTTAACTAAAGTGTTAACTCTTTTTTTCCCCATTGCCTGGCATCGTACCTTACAGTCTTATTCACCTGTCCAATTTTAATGAATTGCTACATAGAAAATGAAGGAGGAAGGGGAAAGGAGTCATTGCTTCAAGGGGAAAAGGGTCACTGTTCCAGGCTATGAAATTCCTAGAATATAAAACTGGACATTGGTGTAAGCAAAGATTGTGCTTTTTTGTTTGTTGTTGTTGTTTGTTTGTTTTTTGGTGGGGGTGTTAAAATATTTGAAAAAAACAAATTATTTTAAGTTGTCATATTTAAAATTATTTTAATTCCTTGTCTTAAGTACAAGTTTCAAGTATTTTTAATATTTCTTATAAATCAGGGGAAGCTTGAATGTGTTGTATGATTTGCACATGATCCACCATGGTGCCTGCCCTTTAACTGCCTAAACAGAGCAATTCAACTCTAGTTTCATAAAGTAATTACACAACCTAGTGTTGAAGAAGTCCCTCCTCTCTTTCCTTCAACATGCTTCTCATAGTGAAGTTCCGGTTAACTCTGTCAAACTGTGATGGAATTTGGATCATCTTGGTCTTTATTTTTTCATTAAACAAGACAAGGAATTATTTCTGTAAGAGGGAAAGTATGGATAATTCTGGGGGTTATTAACAAAATGGAGATTTAAAAGTCCAGTCTTAATTCAGTATGGTATAGGGAGTTTCCTATATTTATGATTATTAGTTAACTTTGGAGCAGAGGTCAGAAGGTAGTGATTCCGAGGTGCCAGCAGGCTCACAAACTTGCAGAAGTGCATGCTGCATTTCTTGAACTACAGTAGGCCATGTACCTTGCAAGTCCCATTATGCCAGTGAAAGTAAATAAAGTCAGTTACTTATGAAATCGTAAGAACCTTCCCACAGACAGCTCACGTTATTCCAGAGGGACCTGGGGTAGAGCATGATGAGAGGAGGTAGGGCTGCTATGGGGAGGGTGGCTGAAGATGACTCTGGAGCTCATTTTATAGAAAGAACAGGCGAGGGTCACAAGTGGATATGGAACAGAAAATACCCAGAGGAGGAGGAAGGACTTCAAAGACATGAGAATGAAGTGGAGGACAAGGTGAAATATTCAAAATCTCTGTTAGCTAGACCCACATCAGAAGCACTGGACTGAACTTCCAAGGTCCAGTTGAAGAGTAGAAGGAAGTCAGGACCACGAGGCTTGGTCCACCCACCGAGACAGTGTGCCTGAGCTAATGGGAGCTCACCAACTCCATCTAGACTGGGATTGAACAAGCATGGGATCAAACTGAACCCACTGAATGTGGCTGACAATTGGGGCAGACTAAGAAGCCAATATTAATGGCACTGGGATTTGTCTCTACTGCATGTCCTGGCTTTTTGGGATCCTGTTCTATTTGAATGCATACCTTCCTAATCCTGGATATACTGGGAGAGCCTTGGACTTCCCACAGGGCAGGGTATCTTGCTCTCTCTCAGGACTGGAGGGGGAGAGGGAAGGCTGTGTAGGGGAGCAGGAGGGAAGTGGGAGGAGGGGAGGAAGTGGTAATTTTGATTGGTATTATTTATAAAGTAATAAAAAACAAAAATAAAAAAATCCCTGTTGGGCTGGAGAGATGGCTCAGTGGTTAAGAGCATTGACTGCTTTTCCAAAGGTCCTGAGTTCAATTCCCAGCAACCACATGGTGGCTCACAACCATCTGTAATGAGGTCTGGTGTCCTCTTCAGGCCTGCAGACATACAGACAGAATATTGTATACATAATAAATAAATATTAAAAAAATCCCTGTTAGCTCAATGTGGGAGGGTAGATATTAAAATATCACACAGTGGACAGAGAATTATGGGATTGTTTTAGAGAGAACAGGATTTATAGAGTGAAATATATGTTGGAGGAAGCAATAGTCATGAAGAAAGAAATAAAATATTCGTGAGATGTCAGTGAAGGTTGGGTGTAATAGTAACAGCCATCATCAGCCAAGTCCTTGTCCTTTTGATCTCTATTTTATTTGCTTCTTATTACTTAAGACCAGTTCATGTAGATTGATAAATAGATAGATGATAGATAGATAGATGCATACATGTACGTTCATATATACATACATAGAGCTATAATTGATCAAGCCCATTTTACAGATTTTAAAGCTGAATTGAGATGAAACCATTCGTTTTTACAGAACCTCGATAACTTAAAGCTAGTAGATTTATCTCCTGAGATTCAACTTGGAACCCTATGTGGAGTGGCCTCTAAAGTTCTATCATTGACTAGGTATTGAAGTCATGGGTTGTATGAGATGGATGAGACTCTGTTGCTAGAGAGGGTAAGTGATATTTGTTGTTAATTCCAGAGATGCAAGGAAAAGACCATTGACCTAAGTCATCATGGCCAAATTAATTAAAGCAAATGATTGATTAAAGCAAGCATTTTTATTTATATACATAGGCTGTCTCTTCCTACAAACGAGATTCAAGAGGTAAGCGTTAGACATAGGTTTATAGCTTAGGGGTAGGAGGTTTCTAAATGGGGGACTTGACAGGCAAAATAAGCTAGGTTAGCTAGGCTGTGGTGGTACACGCATTTAATTCCAACACTCAGGAGGCAGAGGCAGGCCGATTTCTGTGAGTTTTAGGCCAATCTCAAATAGGTCTACAGAGTGAGTTCCAGGACAGGCTCCAAAGCAACAGAGAAACCCTGTCTTGAAAGATCCCCCGCCCCCAAAAAAGGGCAGGTTATAGTAGCAGAACATAATCATAACAAGTTAATTATAACAACATCCTGAAACAATGATGTAGTTGCAAGGTGGTTATAACAAGGTAGTAATAGCAATAAGAAGTCATAGCAAGGTAGTCATAGATAGTCTAGTAATTTTTTTTTTAAACAAAGGCATGGTTGATGTTTCCTGGAATAGGCTTACAGAACCATTTGTAGTTAAGGTTGCTGATGGGTCATAGCCCAGTCCTTGAGAAATAGAGGTTTAATTATAAACAGGAATGAACCTATTTTGTTTTTATTATAGGATGGCTTTTAAGCCTAAGATGGAGACAGGGTGGTTCACCATTTATCAGACTCAAGAAAGAAATGCTGTAGGAAGATTTAGGACTCATTTCCACTTTTCCTTGTATTGATTACTTTTCATATTACAACAAAAGATTTGGGATAGATCAGTTTAAGGAAGGAAGGATTTATTCTGTATTATGTTCAAAAGCATACTCTTTTTCTCATACCGGTTTCTGGCACTTTTTACTCATCTCATTGTTGTAAGAAAATACCCTAACAAACATCTGCCTAAGAAATGAATAGTTTATTATGGCTTGAAGTTGCCGAAAACATCCTAGGGGATACCTTTCTTCATGAAGGGGAAGGCAGGAGCACAAAGCCAGCTGTTCATCCCTGCAGTCAGTAAGCAAAACATGAACAACAAGTGAGCTTAGTTATAAAAACTCATATTTACTCCTAGTCACTTACTTCAGCAAAACGCTACCCCCCTAAAGGTCCCATTACCTCCCACAACAGTGCCTCCAGTTGGGGCCCAAGTATTCAAGCACATAGGGGACATTTTGTATTCAAGCCACTGAAGCCCCCAGAATCTTTGCCTTTGTGTCATACTTGTGTCTTTGAGTGACTGGGGAAGTGTGTTGACAGCCATCCACACCTGTTTACAACATGGCCTTCTGTCATTGTATTTCTGCATTAATGCTGGTATGTCAAGTTGGCAGATGCAATGATTGATGCAATTATTAAATATGTCCTACTTCAGATTCTTAGAATCCAGATTTCCTCATAACAGATGTGAGAACTGGGTCTTGCCTTCTGTGGTGCTTGGTTGTTTACACTCTGAAATGCAGAGGTTGAGGGAGATGTCCTCTCTCTCTTGCATCTCTAAAATCCTCATCAAAAAGCACTATGGAGCTACATGCCTGATTTATTTCCAAAGTGGCTTGTGACATTGCTCCACACCATCAGTTTGGAAAGGGGTGATTTTGCAACAAGATTCAAATCCCTTAATGCTTTTTTTGGAATTCTCCTTTTTACTCCACAGGCGGAACCCTCTGCATTTCCACCTCATTGCTGATTCTATTGCGGAGCAGATCCTGGCTACGCTCTTCCAAACCTGGATGGTACCTGCAGTGCGTGTGGACTTCTATAATGCTGATGAGCTCAAGGTATGGAAAGGAAGAAGGGAGAAGGTAAAAGAGTTCTCTTATCTGCTGCAACTGGGGACCTCAGTTTTGCATAATTAATTGACTATAATAAGAACAGGGACCTCACCTCCTAGTAGGACATGTTCAGGTTATAACTGTTTTTATCTAAATTTATCATTAAGCAACGTATTAGCAAAACTGGCCTTCTAACAGATTATCTACTTTGGTCTGGGCAATTCTAGATACCAAGGAACTCCATAGAAGCTGAAGTTCACTGACCTCGATTTGTATCTAAACATGATCTGTGGTACCATAGTAGGTAATATTTCGTTGTTCACTGAGGTGAACATTGACCTTAGAGTGACAGATCTTACCTTAACTCTATGTACTGTTACCGACTAATCACAAGACACACATCAACCACCTGCCCATGGTGGCCTGGTTCTTTAGGGACAGAAAGGTTATAATCCTAAGTTTTGGGGTAGGAGTTTCTGATGAAAGAATATATGCTGATGCCTCAAGACGAATTCCTGAAAAAATACTACATTAGGAACTTTTTAACTAATAAAATTCATGTGGACATCTGATTCCTTTGCTTCAAGTTCTTCTATAGTGCCACCTTGCTTGCATGATATTTGGGATTGTGGTCTTAAGACCACACTGACTGATTAGGGCTTCCAAGTCCACTTCTTATCTGTCTCTACTTGAAGCCACAAAACAATCCCACACCAGTTAAGAATTAGGGATAATAAAAAGGGTTATTTATTAGAAGAGAAAAACTTACAGATCACCGTCCCAAACAACAGTCCTCTCATTGCAAACAAGAAACAGAGAGTCTGGTGGCCAGAAAGGGAGCCAAAAGCTTCTCTCCAATGTTGCACTCCTTTGCTTATTCTGTTCCCTCTATCAAACTTTCTCCCCTAAGATCTTGTCACAATCTCACCCATCCTTTCATACTCAGTGGCACTGCTTTCCTTTCCCTTTTCCAAGAAAGAGCAAGAAACTTTCTATCCACTTGTCTCTCAGCATTTATCTAGTCTGTATTTCTTAGACCTCATGCAGCCAAAGGTAGCTATCCATGAATGCATCATGACACAAAAATAAACTTACTTAGAACATGGTAAGTTGTGTTTGTATGTGTTCCCATTTTTTTAAATTTTCTTATTTTTTATAAAACACTTGCATAAATCTTGAGCATGTAATATGCAAATGACCATATTATGTCACAGTGTTAAAATGATGAGCTGCCATTGGAGTCTCGTAGTACCTCTTTAATGAAGTAAGAAGATGAGAACATGCCTTCTTTTTTTATTTTTCTGATGCATAGTAGGTGGGGCATGGTAGGTGTCCCATATACTAGGAGGTTTAGCATACTGCTATTGTTAGAGGAAATAGTAGCTTTGAAGGAAAGCACTGACTTTCTGTACTGAGCACTTTGGGAAGGAACAGATAGGTACCTAGGTAGGGGACTGATTCTGGCAAATAGATTCTTTTCAGAGCCACAAAGCCATTATAATTTTATTTCAGAGTCATAATATTTTAAATAGATTGATCATGTTGATGCAGGCTAGAATTTCTGATTTTCACATATTTTAGGTCAGAGCCACAAAGCCATTATAATTTTATTTCAGAGTCTTAATATTTTAAATAGATTGATCATGTTGATGCAGGCTAGAATTTCTGATTTTCACATATATTAGGCTCCGAGGTTGATCGAGATGTTCAGAATTTTGCATTTGGGGATTCTCGTAATTTGTATGTCATTCCAATCTATTCTGAGGTAAAACTGATTAACACTCTTATAAAGGCAAAAACAAAATTTAGCAAATTGCTGTACTATTTAAGGTGAAAAGCACATCACTCCCAGGTTCTAGTACAAGCACCAAGGAGAAATAAAAAAAGAGAGGAGAAACAGAGCCTCTGCCTCCACAATTATTACTCCATTTTCCCCTGCCCTGTCTCAGTTATGAAGCCACCCATGGTTTGTTTAAAACATAAAAGAAGTGAGGTTGGGTGGCATGGGCCTGTGGTCCCAGAAAATGAGGAAGCTGGGGCAGAAGAATAATTATCTCCAAGCCTATCTGAATGATTTAGTGAAAGTCTATCTCAAAAATTATAATAAAAAATTGGACAGCAATTTCTAAGTTTTAATTTCAAATATTTGTTTTCCACAGAAAAACTACATGCTTGGGTCTGAGCCATGGCTAACTTACTTGTCAAATGGGCTTAGATAATGCCAGCCACTGAAGGAGGATATAGTATCTGTAGCATGTCAGTTTCTTAAAAATGATTGGTCTTTTCAGACATAGTAGCTGGAACCTATAGTCCCACACTAGGAAGAATGAAGAGGGAGGATTGTTACAACCCAGGAATTAGAGACCATCAGGCAATATAGCGAGACCCTGTTGTTGTTTTTAAAGAATATTTTACAACTTGAAGTATCCCACTCCCTTTTGAATCCCAAGGTCATGTGGTTCCTTAGTTGTTGTGGATCCTATTGATAACATAGCTTGCAATGTAATCCATAATGGTGGTCCATGATTGGAATGTAGCCCAGGGCTTCCTGCCCCAGCCTTAGAAGAAAGGAAAGGATAAAGGGAGTCTGTGGTTCTACTCATGGTGATCCAGATAAACTATTATTTTACATACTGATTTTGTTATGGTTACTTTCTTGTCAACTTGACACAAGTTATGGGTATTTGGGAAGGGGAACCTCAACTGGGAAAATACTTCTGTTGATTGGTCTGTAGGACATATTCTTGATTAAGAGTTGATGTGGGAGGGCCCAATACACTGGGGCAGTGTCCTCTCTAAATAGGTGGTCCTGGGTTGTATAAGAACATAGAGTAAGCAAATCATGGAAAGCAAGCCAGGAAGCAGTGTTTCTCCATGGCCTCTAGTTTTGTTTCTGTCTTAAGTTTATTTCATGTTTTTCTTTAGTGGTGGATTATGATCAGAATATATCATCAAATGAACTCTTTTCTCCTAAATTACCTTTGGTCTTGGTCTTTATCATAGCAATAAAAAACATACTAGTACAGTTATTAACTAAGTTAAAGCTTTAATTGTTTAAAAAGCGTAATAATTAAAAAAATTGGATATGGCATATTAAAATGTGTACTATCTTCTAGAATCTTGTCCTCCAGATAAGATTCCTAACATCTCTGTATTTCTATGTACCATCTCTCTTCTGTATCTAAGGATTTCTATCCCCAGAACTTTGTAGAATATGAATATCGATACATTATTATACAGAACGTACTATTTCCATGACCTAGGGAGTGACTCCCTTCAGAATACTTGGTCTAGTGTGGGTTCACTGCCTAAACAACAAAATGGTTTTCTCATAGATTCATGGCTTGATGGCTCAAAGTATTGAAAGAAGTAACTGTTCTAGTTGTCCTTTGTATCATGTTAAAGCAGTCTTTTGTCTTCTTCCCCCTGTATTGGGATATAAAAGTGTATGGGAAATTAAACATAGGTGAATTTCAGTATTCACTGAAACTCCCTTCCAATACTATCTTACGTTTTCTCTTTTTATTATTTTTACTTGTATTTCATACTTTTTACTTACTTTTTCTAATGTGCATGTCCCTAACCTTGTAAGTGGTATACTTGTCAAAGCTGGTTTCTTTTGCTGAGGCTATGATATTGGGGGAAACTGTCTGCGTCATCCTTACCTTGGAGATTCTTTGTTCTGTGCATTTGTTGGATTACATGTTTTTCTATGAAACTTGTCATAGACCATATTTTCATGCCATCCTCCGATAAGTTGCTTGTGATAGTTTGAGAATGATTCCCATAGACTCATTTGTCTGAATATTTGGCCAACAGTTGGTGGAACTGTTTGGGGTGAATTTGGCTGTATGTCCTTGTTGGAGGAGATGTGTCACTGAAGAATGCTTTTGTTGTGCCCAAGTTACTGATCCCCCAAAAAAGAAAATCCATGGACCGGGATTCTGATGTGAAACATGAGTGTTTCTAATATATAAATTCTAGTTTGAACAATACCTGCAGCACACCAACCCAGTGGATGAGGGAAGTGCATTGCCAAGCCTGGGGAAGGGATAACTTTTAAAGGGGAAACGCCATAATCAGGAGAGTTCTTGTCCTGTCATCATGTCAGGGAGGAGGACCACAGACTGGTATTCCTGGCACTGGAGCAGTAACTGAGAGCTCAAATTTTAAGAAAAAACTACAAGGTATAGGGAGTTAAAGCTGCGGCATCTGAAACTTCAGAGTGTGAGACCCTGACTTTGCAAACTCTATTAGGGAATTCATTTTAAGCCATATAATGAGTGGGGGGAGGGGAGATCTCTGTTCCAGAATTGTTCTGCAATTTGTACAAATTTGAACGAATATCCTGAAAATTGACAATTAAGGAGCTAAGGAGCCGGGTCATAAAATTTAACGAGGTCCAGATACTCCTAGGAGGCATCCTGCCCTTGAAGATACCTTGTCGGTTATTAATGGCTCTTTGCTAGAGTTTTTTGTGCCCAAAAGCTGACCAATGGTTTCAGAAACTACCTTATCCTGTGCCCTCCTTACCCAGTCCCAAGATGACTTTTTCAGGAAAATGGATGGAGCTAGAAAACACTATTTTGAGTGAGGTAACCCAGGCACAGAAAGACAATTATCACATATACTCACTCATAGGTGGTTTTTAAACATAAAGCAAAGAAAACCAGCCTACAAACCACAATTCCAGAGAATTTAGACACCAATGAGGACACTAAGAGAGATTTACATAGAACTAATCTACATGGGAAGTAGAAAAAGATAAGATTTCTGAGTAAATTGGGTGCTTGGGGACCTTGGGGGAGGGTTGAAAGGGGGAGGGTAGAGGCAGGGAGGGTAACAGAGAAAAATGTAGAGCTCAATAAAAATAATTAAAAAAAAAAAACTCCAAATCTTAGCTGAACACTTTGGAGTCATGTAATAGTGGTTCTAACCCCAAAACTGTATTAACTCCACTTTGTTGAATCAGTCTGTGTTCTTCTCATTTCTTGTGTAGCCGAAGA